TTGACTGACCGTATAGTTCGCCGACCACCAGCTCCGGGTTGGCCTGTCGTATGCCAGCGATGGATGAAAATATATCGGGCGCTCCGTTTCCAAAGGCTAAGAATGTGACCCCCTTTTCATTGCAATTATTTACATTAGTTTAGTATTGATTTCTAATTAATTTTGTTTGTTTTTTGTTAACTTACGGCTATATTATGTGAAAGCCTTAATGTTCTCGATATAACTAATAGCGCCGGACATAGACTATAAATAAAGAATTATAAGATGTATTTTATAAAATAATTCTTTATAAAAATTAATTATAAGATGTATTATGTACAAATAATATGTTATATAAATTGATGTTTATAACAAATAAAAATTTTCCACAAAATTAATTCTTTTAAATTATTATATTAATTATTAGTGTTAGAAAATGTACTATAAATTAATTGATATTTTCATTTATCCGGAAAAATTCATATAAATAACTAATGACTTAATCTAAACCATGTGTTTTAATATAAAACAATATTATCGACAAATAAATATTGATAAATTAACTTTTATATTCAAATAAAAAATATCGTTTAAATAAATAATTTATTAAAAATTAATAATATTACAATATTTAATTGTTTGCTAGCAATGACCCAGAATTTATCATATAACATGTTTGTCATATTAAGAAATTACCATAATAATCAATATAGTATCAATTTAATTCAATATAAAACTAGAAATAAAATTGACATTTAAGTTTTTGTAAATTTCCAAATATTGAATACAACAAATATTGAATAATTGACAGATTGTCAGTAAATTAAATAATGAATTCCCAGTTTCAAAGTTCACATAAATAATAAAAAGATATACTAAATTAGTTTTACATAAGAATCAGTTACAGAATTAATTCTATTAATTTGTTATAACTTTTGATAGACGTCTAACTGTCGTACGGATGAGTAATAAACTCACTATACATACTATGAAATCCTAAAAATAATACCCTATTTCATGAATTTCATAATCAAATGAAACATTGATTTAATTTCTTAAAATGGTTTTGTGTAATGAATTTTATTTAGCGTAAAATTTTGCTACGATAGCAAATATTCAATAAAAATTTATAAAAATGGTTTTATTGTTTTGTAAAAAATTACGATTAAACGCCAATCATGGTAAAAGTGATAAAACTTACAAATCATCTGCGGTTACGCCTAAACCGGTAAATAAGACGAGTAGCCATAGGAAGAGTACGATAACCCCGTATATCGGGTTTCCAATCATACAATAGGTTAGGTTTACATAACTGACGAGTCCGTCGGTGTCGGAACAGTCGGCCACCGAATTCACAAACTCGCATCTCTGCACCGAATCGTTTAGAAAGTTTACGTCTTGACACTAAACACGTATAAAATATACAATTAATGTTAACTTTTATTGACAATTAGTTTAATTTTAATATCTATTTAATTATATTTTAATGTATTTAATGCTATTATTAATAACATGTTCACTACTCAACTGAATTGAATCAGAGATTAATAATGTATTCATAATAATGTGTAAGTAATATTTAAGAGATTATAAAATTATTTTATGACATATAAAACTTTTATATGTATAGTCTTCAGTGAAAATCTATTCATTAATAAAATATTTATTATAGACTTTTCTCTACTAAATTTCATTAATTATAATCAACTCAATTCAAGACTTAACCTAAATTTTTTGATAAAAACACAAAAATAATAAATAATTTTTAATTTTTCTTCCAAATAACTAAACTATTATTTAATAATTTTTTGTATAAAACTGTGGTTTTATTATAAAACGTTGCATTTATTATGTAATAGATTTGGGTTAAGGTTACGGAACCACCAATGAATTCCTTGATTACAATTCAGTTAAATGATGACAAAACAAAACTAAATACAAATGTTTAGACAATAAAAACAAATATAATAATAACAACACAATGAGTGAAATACCGGTAAAGTTGTATCAAATGCTATCAAAGAGTTCATTACAAGAGTTAAATAATAATAATGATATAAATAACCGACTAAATAGCGGTTAAGACTTACATTAGATGAGGTGTGATTAGCGAGATATTCACCACTTATAGTGAAATTTTTTGAAAAACTCATTGGAAAAACAATCTGTTAATGAATATCGTGTCCAATAAAACACATTTCAGATGTATT